CCATCCATCCACCTTACATTCAGCCGTATTTAATTATAGACATCTTATATACTATGTGAATAATTCTCTTATAATATCGCCTATTTTTGAAGGGAAAAAGGATAAAAAAATATATATTTTCTTCATTTTAATCTGAAGAGGATTGAGCATGAGATTTATTTAACACAACAAATTTATAATTTATACAAGTATTTATAAATCTGATGTATGATTATTTTATTTTGCTTTTCAGAAATGAGCAAATACACAAGAAAGTGGAGTGTTGCGGGATTGCCGATCTATTTTTGCCACTGGGAAGGCATATGTCCCATTTATTAAAGGCTAAATAAAAAGATTAAAATGCATTTTTGTAAGCTAAGATCTTGCAGGGTGAATCAAAATAGTATTTTAAACAAATTTATGAAAAAAAAAATCCATTTTTATGAACGTTTTCAACAATAGTTACGATTGTATGTTTATTTCTAGGATTTTTCTAAAAAAATTGCTATTCACAAGTCCACATCTTGAATCTATGGCTTTATTGAACTTATTTAGCTTTAATGTTTTGATCTAGGAAAGAAAATTATTTTCTCTCATTTAAATTAAATGTTCTAATGATTAAAGCCTTTTAATTTTCTTTTAATACATATTTACAGTTTGTTATTAAGTTTTAAAGTTAAATTAGTTTTGTTTTATCATCCATATTTCACAATATTGAAATATACCTGAAAGGAAGGATTGTAAATTATATGTTATGTTCAAAATATAATTTTAATTCCATGGAACTCGATTAGTTCAAGGTCCTTATAATCTTTTTTTCTCAATTAATCTCTATTGATTTTTTTTCCAAGGATTTCTTTGGTATTCATCATACACTATTAAAAAGTTGAAACTTATGTTTTGCAAGAAAGCTCTATTTTCAATACATATCTTCAACCCCCAATTATATTTGTCATAAAAAATAATCTTAGAATTTTTTTTTTTTTTTATCACATTCAATGATTCTAATTACTATCTGATTATCTACAAAGTTCAGTATAAGATCTTGAATTCAAAAACATATATAAGATCCTTCCCTCACTCCTATAATAAAGGAGTAATCAAGAAGTCACCTTTCATATTTTTAAGATTTATTAAATTAAAGCAGTAAGAAAAATAAGAATTTATAACATCTTGGTTTTAGTCTTCAGTGCTGAAAATGCTTAAAACACTTTTCATTATTTATCCTTGCTCTTTGACCTATTTAAACACTTTGAATTGCATGTGTCAGGCCTTCACCAGAAGACTGTGTCAAAACTGGTCTGATGGTTGATAAAGCCCAGATGCTATTCATTATATGCTAACTACTTTTACAACAATCAGGCTACAGTGAATCAATTAACAAACAACCCTGAGTCCTAATGTTTCCTCAGGAACTTTCGTCTTTAGCTTTGGTCTCCAATCTACATTTTAATACAGAAGTAAGCAGCATGTCATATTATGATTTTGAAGCAATTTAAAAATAATAATGTAGTGGTGCTTACCGTAACAAAAGAATTGATGTGACAGAATTATTTTGTATAAGTGAAATGATATCATCAAATTATTAAAAAATCAGGTATACTTCTATAAAAAAAAAATGTTCTTTAAATGCTATAGTTATTCATTATACTGTGTTTATACCTTGGTTCTGTGCTCACACAGTAGTCCACTCGGCTACTCCATCCCTTTACCTTACATTTTGAATATGTTTGTTTACATTTTCATGAATAATGACAATACTTACTTGGGGTCCTTTTTTTATGCAATATATTAATGCCTTCCTATGTTCTTTCTTTGCTTATTAAACATTCTTCTTTCCACTTTTTGAATACCAGATCTTTGTCTTACAATATTTAAACTACCTTGCTGATCATTTATTATTTGTGAAAATCTTTCTAATTTTACCAGTAATTGCTTCTACATAGCATCCTTTAAAATCTTACCTTACTTACAAAATTATCTGTCTTATTACCCATTACTAACTAATAGTGGTGAGAATACACCACATTTCACTCTTCAACTCAGAATTCACTTGTTTTATCTCTTTCCTCCTTCTTGATAGCCAGTTGATACAAATGACTATGGCATCAGTGACCTCTTACTTCGCAAAATACATTGCTGATATATTATTAAATAAGTAAATGAAATAAAATGTTAAAAATGGATTTACAAGTTATGTTACAGTGCAAGTAAAAATATTGTAAAATAATATAGAAAAACATTATGAGAGGTAGTAAAATAAAAATAACTTATTAAGTAAAAATATATTTACCAGGCTTACAAAAATCAAGATGTAATATAAATGTTTATAGTATGTTATTTTCAACACTATTTAAAAACTTAATTTATTTAATATTATGAAAACTTCTCACATTCATCTTTATCTACGCATAACAAAATCAAATTATAAAGAACAGTTTTAATCAAAGTAACAAATGATAGGTTGGCATAATAATATTTAAACACCATGTAAATAAACTTTATGAATACACCAGAATAATAAAAAATATGAGAATTTCTTAAAAAAATATATAAATTATTATTAGATAAGATTTGGATAAAGTAAAATAATAAAATGTTATTTGAAATTTTCAGATTTCTTTGAAATAATGGTCAATTCTTATGTTCTTGGAAGTGTAGTTTTGGGAAATACCAATTTTAGGTTAGTGCTTTGTGTATTGATTAATTTTCTCTATTTGGATTTATTTTAAAATGATGTTGAGGTAGATTACATTATTGAAAGTGTATTACTACATAACTACATAGTGAGTGTGGCTTTTGAAGATGGAGATTATGAATTTCTGAGTGATGATAATAATTATCACTTTCACATAATTTACTTTCTAGGTTTTTATAAAAACAACATTGAGGATAAATGCAATTTATTGTAGTATATACTATGATTTTTTTTTCTTCTACGAATTGGAAAAGTTATATAAGATCTCCATTGTAAGTCCAGTTATTTTTACAGAATAGTGGAAAAGGAACTTAAAATAAAAATCTGGAAACTCCAGGTTTATATGGACCATAATAAGGAGTGGAATGTGATAAGCCATTATTTTCTCTTTTTAGTTTTGATATGAATATATAAATTGAGAGTTAAATGTGCCTTCAAGCACTTGGTTTGGGAATTACTAATGATTACCTATTGTTTGAGAAATTTTATAATTTTTCAAAGTGAAATTGGAAGTTTAAAGATGAAACTGCTCAGTTTAGTTGTTTTATAAAGGTATAATATTTTCCAGAAGATTAAATAATTAAATATTATTAATTCAAGTTTTGTAAAAATCATAAATATTATGATAAATATTTGAATAAAAAGAAAAATATTTGAGGTGGCTGTCTTTTTTTACTCAAACCTGATTTAAATATGTTCCATTTTATCAAAGAAAATTAATTTTTTGTTAATTTGCTGTTTTTAAACATCAATTTGAATGACATGGTGATTAGCGATGACCGTTCTTCTTAAATAAATTACATTAATTTTGTTTCTTTAATGAATTTCAGAGTTTTTATTATTCCCTTCTGTTCTTTGTACGGAATAATGTCTTCCATGTTTAGTTCTAGTCGTTGTTTACTGTATTTTTTATGTTGAAATACATGTTATACAGTTAGATTAGTATTGTCACATAAGAAGTAAGTGGAGATGTGTTAGCTTAGTGTGTCCAATTCTCAGCCTGCAAATGATGGAACATTCTTTTGATGTGAGGTGTTTTGGAAGCAATCTCACTTTCCTTTGCACAGATGGAAGTGGTTAGGTGGTAGATCTGCCCATTGTTCATTCCAGTTTTTATTAACTTTGGTTATAATTTCTGATTTCCATTTGTTGATAAATATTTATAATAAAAAGGGAGAATCAGTACTTCTGGCTGCGTTCTTTGTTCCTTCATTAGCTTGTTCATTTCTAGTATTGGCAATTAATTTCTGACAGTTCATAAGTAAGTTTATATAAAATCATAGTTAAAGGGAATAAATAAAATAGTAAAATGAAATAAAAATATAACATATTCTTTCGTTTTTATTCATCTCTTTATATTTTTTGAATTACACAATATATAAATAGAATTAGAACTTTATATTTACAAATCTCATGAGCAAATGTTTAAGTATAAACAACAGACCTTTACATCACTTATAAAAAGTGTCGAGTATTTAGAAACATTAATCACTTTACAAAGACACTGTCCAGTGCATAATCATTAATGTCTATATTTATTTACAATAATAGTTAGTCTACATTTTTGTCAGTAACATTAACATTTACAAACAAAAAGAAAAAAAAACATATTCACAAATATGTATATATACCTATGTATAATTCAAAAATTAATGTAACACTGAAAAATTCTTAACAGTTTTTTATTGAATAAACATAGTTTTTTAAAAATCACTTATGGTTTAGGCACAGATATAATAAATATACATACTTTTGTTCACTATATACAATAATTGACTAATTAATTCTGATTATATATTCTTTTGCATTTACAAGTAATCTCAAGCTCTCTTTTTTTTTCTTTTTAAAATAAGTATACCTCTAAGTAGATCACAGTTCCGAGAATTATGGGTAACATAAAGAACAATCACCAATTTATCTCAATTTGTGCTTTAATATTTTGAAATCTAATTTTAAAAAAAAAAATATGAATACTGCAGGTGTCAGAGTTTAGAAGCGTACAGCAAGTGTAAGTCTAAACCATTCCTGCATCTGGATCAATCACAGCTCGATTGGGAACAAAATTTCCCAAAACCACATCATAACAAAATAAGTATAAAAATTATAAAGTGTCCTCTAAATCGGCTATGCTCCCCTAATTTGACTTATTAACATAGGAACCTTTTTTTTTGTTAAAAAGTGAATCATAATTAATAATAATTAATTTACTATCACTATGTGGTGATAGAAACATGAATATTATTTGCTTAACACAAAAATATCTAATTAGTATTTAACATTTTATGTAATATTTTACGTTAAACAACAATAAAAGCTATTCAGTCTGCTTGAAAATAATCCTTTCGGATATTAATAATTGTAAATATTGTTCATGAATCATAAGCAACATAAAAGAACATCATAAATAAATTTGAGTCCTTTAAACCCTTCAATGTTAAGATATTAAAAAAAAACACAACAATCTAGACAATCAATAGCCGGGACGCTACTCTGTCAAATCAGTTATAACACAATAAATATAAAATTTGAGATCGTTATTCTATTTTTCTTCAATGTATCAGTCTGGGAAAGTCTCAGATACTATTTCACCAGGGAGGTGGTGCTTCCAGCTTCTGAACAGATACCTGGTGAATTTTCTCAATTGCCTAAATTTACAGTACGTCGCTCCTTGTGCTGATTCTAGCTGCTGGGTCTGGATTAAAAAACCCTTTTCTTTGAAAGTTTGTTCGAGTTTCTCTCTTGCAAGGGATTTTCTTGATTTTTTTCTCTGTTGTTCCCTCTGGTCATAATACCTGAAATTTCCTCCTGCATCGACAGAAAGCATCTTCTTCTCCTTCAATGAAGGAGTGGCTCCTCCAGTGAACTTAAATTTACACATTGAAACCTGACTTGGAGGGCTTTGCTTAGCTTTCAAGTCTCTAATGCACAAGTTCAATGGTTCGTCAACAATTGTTGTACCATAGTTTTTGTAAATGAGATGGCAAATATCAGCCTTTTTTGGTTTCCTTCCTCTTCTGGGTCTTGCGTTGTCTAGGGTCATTTCCCCCATATATGGAAGATCTGTGTATCGAACTGTTGGTGGACTTGGAGGACTAGCCAAAGATGCTTCATAATGATCGAGATATTCTGGAGGCAGAGCCTGGTGATGAAATTTTAGTTTCCATCTTGCCTTTCTCCTACCTCTGAAACAAAAAAAGACATGAAATTATATTTTTCTGCTTTATTTTTATTCCTTATTTCAATATAACATTATTGTGTAAGTTCTGAAACAAACAATTATTCTCTTTAAATATAATAGATCATAAACTGTGAGGATCTATTTTCATAATTATTCTAAATATAATCTATAATAGTGAACGATTTATAATTTTATGTGAATGCAAATTGAGCAGTTAAAATTTTTTCTTTAATTGGTGATTGTAAAATGGTAAAACAGAAGCTCGAAAGTTTCGAGACGAAGATACATTTTCCAATGTAGTTTCAAGTCGAAACCACATTAGAAAATGTATCTTAAATATTAATGCTTAAATGTTAAAAGTAATAATATAATAAGAATTTGTTGAAATCAAGGTACTTGAACCAACCTTTTAGTGAATTATGCACAAATTTAGATGATGTTTTTTTGAAAGATTATAATCGTCAGAACCAATTTGATAAAAGCAGCACCAGAAACAGCTTGTGATAAAATGTATTAAAAAAAAATTCTACACAACTAAAAAATTATTTAAGAACCATTAGCGGATTTATATGGGTTACAGACCATATATGGGTAGAAGGGCAATTTTTGAGGAGCAGTAACTGATAGAATGAAATAGCATTTTTTGATTCAAATTAATTTTTAAGTATAAAACAGTTCAATCTCGAGTTAGTTTTTTAAATATAAAGCAATGATTGTTTTTAAAAATAGGAATGACTGAAATGGATGGCATTATCTATCTTACATGTGGGGTAATAGTCAGTGGTACTGACCCATCTTTATCCAATTATGAACATCTGCCTGAAACTTTGTAAATAGTTTCATCTTATCATAACCTACAACTATTTTATTTACGAAAATTCTGGGAATTGGAGCGTTTTCAATCTGGAGCGGGCAAGTGGCAAACCCTAAATACACATTAGCTTTCTACTTGGATCTTAAGGTAATTTGATCACAAAATAGATAAAAAATGTGTCCTTCAAAAATATTGAGCCATTTATCTTATATAACCTCGTTATTTTGAAATTTTGGTGATGTAGATCATACCAAATGGCTCAATATTTTTGAAGGCCACATTTTTTCTCGAATTTGTGATCAAATTATATTACGATTCAAGTTGAAAGCAAATGTTTATTTACGAGTTTGTAGTACTTAATTAAATAGACAAAGTTTGCCCCCCTTCCAGATTGGAAAATGTGGCCTTCAAAAATATTGAGCTGTTTGGCGTGATATACGATCCTAAAATTTCAAAATAACGAGATTATATAGGAAAAACGGTCCAAAATTTTTGTAGGGCACATTTTTTATCTATATTGTGATCAAATTATCTTACAATCCAAGTATAAAGCAAATGTGTATTTACGAGTTTTTTTAAATAAAATAGTTGTTGATTACGAGATGAAACTATTTATGAAGTTTCAGGCGGATGTTAATTATTCGATAAAAAGGGATCTGTACGACGGACTATAAAGAAAAATCTAAAACAAATGTTCCCCTGGAAAATTTTTTTTGCACTTTAAACTTTCTGTCCAATTTTTGGTACTTCATTTGATCCTAATCTTGTATGATTTTAAATCTTGTAACATATCGTGTCATAGTTTTAGAAATAATTTGTTTAAATGAACAAATAGCCAAATAGGTATGAAATAAATGAATTCCCATAGAACTGTAGAAACATATTGACAATTTTCATAGGGTGTTGACCTCTAAAATTGTACAATCATCTATTTATGGAGGTAAATACTTATGATAAGAAAACAATTTTAAATTTTTTAAAAAGAGATTTTGACAACAGAAATATTGCATCCCTTAAGATTAATATCACAGACTGTTGTTCAGTTATGAATACATTATTGTTAATAAGAGTTAGTTCCAGTGCATCCAGACCTATCAGATCGGGAGATCAGCCATGAAAGACCTACTTAACGAGTCCAGAGGAATATTTATTTAGCCAATTAAAAATAAAAAAGTTTTGAAATATTGGAATGGGGTAGACTATCAAGTTGAAAATATGAATTCTATCTTTTGCCTTAAATAGCGAAGATCTATAAAGCAAGATGGTTGGGTTATGGTTTTTATTTCTTATAGTTCTTATCTTCGATTTCTTGTCATTCTAGTTCTTTCCAACAAAATGCCATCTAGATTTACAAGAAGATAACGTTCCAGATCCACGAAACAGGATGAATTTAAACAGAGTGAATTATGTCTCTATCTTGATCTTATACCAGCTGGGATGATGATTACATTTTTATTAGTAGCGATCTGGATGATATTTCTTCCGGATTCTTCTTTAAAAATTTCAATTTTATTTTATATAGAAAATATGAGGTCTCAGTATTAAATTGGCCAATGAGAAATAACCTGAATACATCCTAGCACAATTTAAACAGCTCAATTTAGGACACAGGTATGCTTGCAAATCAGACAGTTTGAATAGTTCAGAAAATAGTGATAATTTATCCAATGAAGAACAAATGAAACGACATCACAGAGAAGAAGAATTGCTCAAAGAAGAATTAAGTTACTTTTTCTGTTCATTTTATATGGGTGTTATATACTCAGCCTTTTAAATAAATGAAATCCAGGATTGCTACCTGTTCCGAAATTCTCAGGTCTTGCTAAAACCCATAGTGGGACGCGATTTTTCGTTATTTTGTACAATTTATATACAAACTTCATTATTTTCGTGATTGATATAGATAGGAATATATGGACCCTAGCCTCCACAGTGTCTTGAGCCTTGAGCATTCTAAAATCTCGAGCTTTGCAACGATATAATGTGGTGATATACTTCTATTCCTATTTCCGAAAATTTGTAATAAATCTAGAAGAATATTTTTAATTTTTCATCATCTTTTTTAAATTATCAAGTTCTTTCATATATTAAGTATAGTTTATTTTGGACCATTTTTATTACTACTCACAATCAGATGTTGTTAACTCTTTCCCCCAAATAAACAATATAACTAAAGAGGGATCCATTTTGAAAATTTGGCATTAAAGCCCCGTCAAACGATCTAAACAAGAATAAGACGTACCTCACATTAAAAATCATTCAACAGTACACCGATATAACGCCTGTAATAAAAATAGAGACAGTTTTTTCAGAGACAGAGACAGTTCAGTATAAGTGGCATTTCATGTGAACGATTTTTAATAAAAGATGCTGTTACTTAATGGCTTTCGGCAATAAGCTGACGATACTATCCAACACAGATTAACTTGAATTGCGTCTCAAATGTTATATAGTATAGTACTTTACCCACTGAAATAACCCTTTTACTTTATCTTAATATTTATGAACAATTTTTCAAAAAAAGGAAGTTTTAGAAAATAAATGTTAACAAAGTAATAATGACAGGACAGTGAGTATCTTATCGATGAATACATTACACGGGACGCATTTAAATGTCAACAAAATCCAGCGGCTCACCATCGACACCTTGTGAAAATTATTGAATATCTTTTTATAAAAGTCGTTAAAAGCTTGTATTTTAAAAGCGCTCATATATTATTTGCAATCGGAACGAGACAGACCGCAATTACAGGTAATTACCAAGAGAAGCATTTCTTCAAGTGTTGGGCATTTGTCGACCTCAAGACAGCCTTATCTTAGCCTAAGAAGACTGGAATAAAGAAAGACCCTTAATGGACTAGCAGGAGCTCTTATCTCGAAGATATCCTTCCCAGAAGCCAGGATCCTGAGGAGTAGGTGTAAATAGTGGCAGATAGAACTTATTTATATTACTGGTCGGTCAGTGGGAACAGGTTCTTCCAGTGTTATGTTGGTACTTCTGGTCGCAGGTGACTTTGGAGCTGTTCGACAACTGCTCTAATCAGGATTCTTCCTCTTTATAGCCTCTAAACCATTTATAAGTGTAGAATATATGTATGTGCATTGTTTGCTAGTTGTTATTCTATTTATAAATGGGATAGCTACAATATGTACAATTAAGAAGCAGGCATTAACAATTTGACTTATAAATTAATATTAATGTGATGTGATCAGAGCCCACACTTAATTCCCATTAACTTTTTACCCTTATTCCAATGAAGATGACTATGTCCAATTTATAGATCGTGGATGAACCTGTTAATTCAGAAAATAAATATAATGCCACAAGCGACCTCAGGTAATAAGAGAAGGGCCTTGTAATAAGAGAACCGGCACCCAAACCATTGAGCCAAATATATCCTAATGTCTTGAAAATATCTAGATTTAATTGTTTTGAGGCTTATAATATTAATTCCTATAAAGGATGAGCAATAATCCATTATGAAGTCTTTATACCGGAAAGTAACTATTCTGTCCATTTTATTTTGTCGAGCGGATGGTTTGAAACTATTTTAAGAGTCAGATCCAAGCAATAAGAATGAGATATCTCGGGAAGATCGGAAGAAGAGACCGTGTGACAAACAAGGCCAGAGCGAGCCTCGATATTAGAGCTATGAGATGGAGGCAGTGGTGCTCATCCTCTTAGTATCGATGGCGCATGAACCTTTCCCTCCCAACCTTTTTCGTCAAAATTGGCTAACTGGAAGTATATTTATTGGCTCATTATAGAATCGATGAAACACATTTTTAAGATTTTCTCAAAAAACACCTCTAACGATTTTGATTTAATTCACTATATCAGGGTATTATTAAGCAGTTAATGTTGGTTACAATATAATGTAGGTTTTATTCTCAGTCCGTCCGGAGAATAATTTTTTTTGTTCTTCCGCCGTACGCCGTCCGCGTATTTTCCCTGAAACTACTGGTTTTTATTTGAAACAATTAACCATTTTACATTATTATTTGATATAGAAATAGTTAAATACAATATATGAAAGAATTTGATAATTAACTAAAAGAGAAATAAGAGATCGTAACGGATAATAGTTGTGATCGAGAAATCAAAGCAATACGAGAGCGCCCGAAAGATTTTAACAGGCTTCCATAACTAACGTGAGCTTAATAATATAATACGGGCTTCGACTATATTATGTACATATACATATGCGATTTTCATAAACGCTATCATTGGTAATATTTAATATTGAATTGTATAGATTACAGCTATATAAAAATTAAAATATGTAGATATATGAATAATTGAAGAAATAAAAATATCCATAATGAAATGAAAATAAATATAGTGTCTATAATTTTTACTTTCAATTCCTCTTTGTCTGGAAATACTTATTTCTGCTAATAGGGTGGCAAGCGAAAGCCGTGTGATGCGCACACCAGATTTTTTTTTTCTCCTAAAATATAATTATGGCGGATCAGAAAAAACGTCGAATTTAAAAATCAGTAGGCCATACACAATTAAATTGTCTGTTGTCTGTTCCACGCCTTCCCTTGTCCTCTGATTTGAAACTTTTAATTACAAAAAATCGCCCCTCTAAAACTTCAAAAACCCGTTAAAATGTGCCCTCCTCAAAACTTTTGATGGCTCAACTTGTGCCCCTTTTGGGCACCTCTGGATGATGGAATAAAAGAAGCTTTTGACAGATGATGTCTTTAGTGAAAAAAGAGGAAAGACTTGGTAAAGGACTGGAATTTTAGGATCTAAGGTACCTCACACTTCACTGCAGTCGAAGATGTTTAATCATGAAGAACTTTTATTTTCTGCGAAAACCTGAAAATTACCCTAGTAATAATTAATTTAAAAAAATAAAGAGAGAACTGGTTTTGATTGTGAACTATTTCAATTTGTCACTTATAGGACCTGTGATTAATAATTATATCGGAGTTTACCCATTCGCATTACATTTACAAATTAAATAAACAAAGTAAATGATAGTTAAATAAAAAAATAAAATTTAAATTAATGCTAAATAAAAAAGCTGTTTGCAATAAATCGTGCCATTTATAGTTCCAACTGCAATGAACAGCAATTTTATATTTGTACGGATTCAGAATCTGCTCTTAAAGCTATGAAAAATTCTTTTTCAACTAACTCATTAGTCGCATATACAGTTAGACATATAAAAACATTTTAGATTTTTGGATGGTTATCGGGTCACTCGGGTATTAGAGGTAATGAGCTAGCCGATGTCATGGCAAAACAAGCAATGAAGGGAGGAACTCCGGTAGGGGATGCTTTTCCAAAGGAAGTAGTAGCTTTGCTAAAGAGAAAGGCTCCGGAGAAATGACAGATTTTCTGGCATGTTTCAAGAGACAATAAGTTGAGAATGATTTAAGTCGAGCGGACCTCCAGTTGAACATAAGAGAAGAAATAATCCTGACAAGGCTCCGGATCGGACACTCACGGCTAACTATTTGTACATAAATATGCACAAGAAGATTAAATATTCAATTCCTATTTTTACCATGGCAATTTAAGAAACTAATACTTGATCCTAATGTTTTTGGATATATAGATAATTCATTCATATTCTATTCGTCCGAGATTCGGAAAGTGTTATATCATATTTATATACGTTATGTACTTGGCATATTATCATACATCCATGAAAAGATTTTGACTTGTATCAATAAGTATTAAAAACGAATAAAATTCATCAAATATACAAATATTGAATCCAACATAGATACATTACGAAAAATAATAATTCTGAAAATATTTCATCTATAATTAATTACCTTAAAGTTTTCGAGCTCTCAGGACTTGATGGCTCTTGTGAAACACCTTGCATCTGAAATATCAAATAATTATATTTAATTTCTCATAGATTTAAATATAACATATAAAATAGTAGTTAAATATCTTGGAACCAATTATATATATAATTTAATTTAGAGGCAAATATTCCCCAACATATATTTTTCATATTATGCTGTAAATTTACGACGATTGTTATTATGCTTTGTGAAAAAAAAAAAAAAAAAACATAAACAAAACAAACAAAAACAGTAATATTTATTTTCTTCTTAAATATGACAGTGGAGAATGGATACATTCGAAGTGGTAGAAACATTGTTGGATTGCAACGACCGTCACTAGTTGAAATAACTCGGAAAGCGAAAGCATTCTGAAGACAAATTGCGATACGAGGCAGTGTGAATGATCAAGTGGCTTTCGAAGTTCTCTGAAGACTCAATAAAGGCTAAAAAGAGTAAAATATAAGTAATTTATCGGCTGGGGTCGATAGGTAATGAGTCGTTCCTAAGGAAAAAAAGGTGGACAGTCCGGTATCGATATTCACTTGGGACAAATAAAAACATTAGGCGGGACTCAGGAATGCGCTGGAAGAAGAGCTCGCGTGGGTGTTCCCGCCCACTGGCTCCTGGGCCAAGCTTACTGAAAGCTCTCTCGTCGGTAGGCTCTTAAAAAATAACAATATATATATATATATATATATATATATATATATATATATATATATATATATATATATATAAAATATAAAATAATATCATAAATGGAATTAAAGTACTAAGATTAGATTTATTTTTAGTGAATGAAGCATGGCTGTCTGAAAGGAAATGATATTTCGGTGTACTGTCAGAAATTAAAACCAATGTAACACATTTAATTGTTTAGCGTGTTACTAAGCACACTGGTCTGAATCGGCAAAAACGGAACATTATATTATTTTAAAATTTTTTTTTCTAGAACGGCTAATATCTAATATTTACAAGTAAGGTAGTCAGGACCAAATTTTTGAGGGCATTAAAAAAATTTTTAAGCTCTTTATGAAATTCGATGAAGGTCTGCAACTTAAATTAAAGGCAAATACGTCGGAACATTAAATGTACTGTCTGATTTATGTATTTGACTTCTGATCCCACTTCCTACCATCGTTTCCTAAAAAATATAGATTAGTTTTTTCCTGATGATTCGAAATGATATTTATTGAACTGAATCAATTATTTTTGTTGAAAATTTAAATTTACTATAATTGATATAAATATCGGTTTTATAAAGTCAGTTTAAAAGGAATAATGTTGAAGAAATTTTTGACTATAGATAATAAGGTTGAGAAGTTAGTTTAGGGTAGCAGTCAGTGAGAAAAATACAAATATAAATAAAAATATTTATTTTATTTTTTGCCGAAGTTTCAGCCTAAGTTTCTGGCCTTCATCGGGGCTGAGGAAAGACAACTCAAAAATATATTAAACCAACAATTGTAAAAGGATATCGGAACAAAATATATGTTATAACTTGTAACAAATAAACTGTTAGAAGTGATTACAAATTAAAATATACCAAAAAATAAAATTATTACATGCAATACCTATATATTTTAATTTTTTATTCACCTCTTCGAATTTATTTATTAACAGGTAATATGTATTTTGTTCTTATATATTTTTAGAATAGTTAGTTTAATAATATTTTGAGTTGTCTTTCCTCAGCCCTGATGAAGGATTTTTTTTCTTCCTTACATCGCCTTTTAGACTATACGGGATTTTCCCGGGCTGGAATGTAGGGGCGGGGAATTAAAAATCCCCTCCGGCACCGAGTCGCGAAGTCATCCTTTCTTTAATCTCATAACTTCGTTTATCTGTTTACCGGACAACTCGCGGTGCTGTGCACACGCATTAGCCCATTTGGCCACCCCTGATGAAGGTCTGAAACTTGAAACTGAAACCGAAGCGTCGGCACGAAATAAAATAAAACTTTTTTATTATTATTTCTGTTTTCCAATGCCTGCTCTCCCTCCCTCCACACTGACTTACCATTCATTAAATGAATAATATATTCCTGAAGTAAAGAAATAATTAATAAACTGAATATCTGATTATAGACCGGTCGAGCTCTTTTGACTTATTGTGAGTCAGTACCTGAGTATCCCCATGAGGGGGGGGGAGGAGGAGGTGAGAGGGGGAGCGCCCGTCGTAAAGGAGTGTGAATGATTGCTTGACAGTGAATGGACCGCGTTCATGTTTATGCAAGGCACACCTCTGGGTACTCCGAGGGGGACAGCCTTCATGATTGTCCTGGAAATGTCAGGAGTACGGTCGGTCACCTGACCACCACATCTGTCAGCACTGAGGAGAAGGGACACTGACAGGCAGCTGTAGCGAATCGTCTCATTAAGCCAATCTCGTCAATTTACAGAATAGCAAATGTCGATGTATTTCACTTACGCTGCTTTTGGACGATTCGGAAAATGACAAGCCTCGTCATTCAAATCATTCTGTTTTCTCACTACAGAAGGTAGAGAAGCCTGTTATTTCCGGGAGTTTCTCCTCAGGATCGAGTCTTTTCTCTCAAGATTTGCTTCTCAAACATCAATAAATAATTTCGTTTCTGTGTCTACCTGTTATAAAATAAATTTGATGGGCAAATGATCTCCTAGCTTTAATTCAATGAAATTTTTCGGGATCGTTTTCATCACAAGTTTTCATCGCAAGCCATGACCCGCGAGAGTTAGTGAAGGTCATAATGTAGCCCGCATGCCAAAAATTTTGTAGACCACCGCCCTAGAGAGTGACAGATTGTGAATGTATTCTCTATAAAAACTTGTATCTATCCATCAAATCAATATCAGTTGGGAATAGTAGTGCGTTACACTTATTTGTTTGATGATAATTAATCAGATTACTTCACAATCACTGTTAATGAGTAAAATTGAATGCTATAACGATATGGCATAAAAGAAAAAGAAATAAAAAAACAGAATGAATATAAATACAGATTTTTCATTTATTTTAAAACACCAAAATTCATTTCAACATCGGTTAGAATCATGGACCTACTTCAGTTTTCCTCCATCATCAGAAGGCAAGCTGACAGGCGACGTAACCCACTAAGGTAGAAATGACACATACATGCATCATGTGAACACTAGCTGATTCAATTCGTGAATCATCCCGGTATTTCAGTTCATAGCTGGTATCTTAGCAATCTTAACCATAAGCATAATATTTACTGTCCATTGTGAGAAATTATTTTATATTGCTTATTCTAATAAGGAACTGTAATAGCGGAAAAATTGGAAGAGACGGGATAATAAATACGCGATGAAAGTACCGAATATATTTTGGTTTATTATTTTCAATAATCAACCATTGTGATCGACCAAAAAATTCAAAAACTTAACTTCTTCTCAAAATTTGAGGTTTCACGTTTCAAGATGCGTAGAATTCGAAGAACGAGTAAAAATTTTTTTGTCCGTCCGCCGTCCGCGCATTTTCTCCGAAACTACTGGACCGATTTTTTTTCAAAATTGGATATAAAATCAGAGGTCACCCGATGATGACCCTCCTTCATCGACATTATTATCCGCCTTTTACAATCAAAATGGCGGCCGAAAAACCTGCGTTACTATAGACTGTAGCTCCTAAACGAATGTACCGGTTTCAATGATACTTCGCTAAAGTCATTTTCTTTACGCCCTTTAAATTTATCTATATAATATACTTCAACGAAAAGAAGCTGGAAAAAAAGTTACGAGGGATGGTAATATTTAATTCCAAATAACTCAAAAATTATACACTTTTTGTCGATATTGTTTATAGGTTTTTAAAGTTTACGGAATTGCCTAAAAAAAAAAAATCGTTAAATCGGACGATTAGGAGATAATATGTGGTATCTAGTTTCTTAAATACGTTCTGCTGCAAAGGTTATATCCTTTTTTTTATTTTTTACAATACATTAGGCCAATTTTCACCAACATTTTATTGATACGCATTAATTTGACATTTCGACCATACTAAGGGTCATTTTCAAATCTGGAAAAATTTACAGAATTCCGTTAACAACCATACAGATGTGGACAATATAAATACTTTTTACGCAAATATAATTAACACAATTCGTATATAATAATATAATAATCCACCATTGCAAAACATTAGAAGGAAAATTCTTCTCCTTTTGACTATCCCCACCAGGACTATATAAGTCAGTCCCTCCAGAAATGACGTGGGCGAAGCCCCTATATAACATGACAAGTTAATGTTCACCGAACATATTAATTACAACATTAATCATGAACATATAACGGAGGACTCATGAAGGTAATAGTCAATTGTTTTTAATGTAAAGTTTTAATGTTTTTAGTTATGTACATGTATGGGTTTTTTTATAATAAAAAGTGTATACTTTATGTATATTTTTAGATAAATTTATGTGTATCGGAAATAATTTGACATAGAACGTTAGATAAGTCAATTAAATGTAATAAGAAACTCTTTTTGTAATTGTTGAATATTAACTAATAACGATATTATAATTTTCCAGTTTAGAAAATGGCCCTCAGTATGGTCGAAACGTCAAATTAATCCGTATCAATAAAATTTTGGTGAAAATTGGCCTAATTTATTGTAAAAAATAAAAAACTTCAAGACATCAAAATTAGGAAAAATGAACAGAAGAGTTATATCCTTTGTTTTTGTTTTTGAATTTTGAATGTGTTACTTCGGTAATACTCATTTTTTTACCATATTACTAATGATTAAAAAAAAAGTTTAGTCCATTAATTGGAATCACCTTTTATTTATTTTTCTTTGTAACTAGGAAGGTAATGTTGCTTTAGATGCATAATTGTTTAGAAATAATAAACCGTTGCGAAATAATTTTCAGCGTTTTTAGCCATAACACCAAAATATAATTTTTCCGATTTAATATAGAAAAGCAATAAAACAATACAATTTTTAGTAATATAAAAACAAATATTTTTGGCCTTCATTATTCTTTGCCCTAGATATGTTAAGGAATAAAATTAACCATATGCTGATGTTAAGC